CCTGCCCCTTCACCCCTCCCATGATACCTGCCCCTCACCCCTCCCATGATACCTGCCCCCTCACCCCTCCCACGATACCTGCCCCCTCACCCCCCCCATGATACCTGCCCCCTCACCCCTCCCCTGATATCTGCCCCCTCACCCCTCCCCTGATACCTACCCCCTCACCCCTCTCCTGATACCTGCCCCCTCACCCCTCCCCTGATACCATGCCCCCTCACACCCTCCCATGATACCTGCCCCCTCACCCCTCCCACGATACCTGCCCCCTCACCCCTCCCCACGATACCTGCCCCCCTCAACCTCCCATGATACCTGCCCACTCACCCCTCCCACGATACCTGCCCCCTCACCCTTCCACACGATACCTGCCCCCTCACCCCTCCCCTGATACCTGCTCCTTCCACCCCTCCCACGATACCTGCCCCTTCACCCCTCCCATGATACCTGCCCCCTCACCCCTCCCATGATAACCTGCCCCCTCACCCCTCCCCATGATACTCTGCCCCCTCACCCCTTCCATGATACTTGCCCCCTCACCCCTCCCATGATACCTTCCCCCTCACCCTCCCCGATACCTGCCCCTCACCCCTCCCTGATACCTGACCCCTCACCCCTCCCTGATACCTGCCCTCACCCTCCCCTGATACCTGACCCCCACCCCTCCCTGATACCTGACCCCTCACCCCTCCCTGATACCTGCCCCCTCACCCCTCCCCTGATACCTGCCCCCTCACCCCTCCACATGATACCTGCCCCTCACCCCTCCCATGATACCTGCCCCCTCACCCCTCCCCTGATACCTGCCCCCTCACCCCTCCCATTTATACCTGCCCCTTCACCCCTCCCATGATACTGCTCCCTCACCCCTCCCTGATACCTGCCCCCTCACCCCTCCCATGATACCTGCCCCCTCACCCTCTCCCTGATACCTGCCCCCTCACCCCTCCCCTGATACCTGCCCCCTCACCCCTCCCATGATACCTGCCCCATCACCCCTCCCCTGATACCTGCCCCCTCACCCCTCCCCTGATACCTGCCCCCTCACCCTCCCATGATACCTGCCCCTCACCCTCCCTTGTACCTGCCCCCTCACCCCTCCTCTGATACCTGCCCCCTCACCCCTCCCACGATAACCTTCCCCCATCACCCCTCCCCTGATACCTGCCCCCTCACCCTCCCCATGATACCTGCCCCTTCACCCCTCCCCTGATACAGGCCCCTCACCCTTCCCATGATACCTGCCCCTTCACCCCTCCCCTGATACCTGCCCACCCTCACCCCTCCCCTGATACCTGCCCCCTCACCCCTCCCACGATACCTGCCCCCCCACCCCTCCCTGATACCTGCCCCCCCACCCTCCCCTGATACCTTCCCCCTCACCCCTCCCACGATACCTGCCCCCTCACCCCTCCCCTGATACCTGCCCCCTCACCCCTTCCCTGATACCTGCCCCCTCACCCCTCCCCTGATACCTGCCCCCTCACCCCTCCCTGATACCTGCCCCCTCACCCCTCCCTGATGCCTGCCCCTCACTCTCCCATGATACCTGCCCCTTCACCCCCCCCATGATACCTGCCCCCTCACCCCTCCCACGATACCTGCCCCCTCACCCCTCCCCTGATACCTGCCCCCTCACTCCTCCCACGATACCTGCCCCCTCACCCCTCCCCTGATACCTGCCCCCTCACCCTCCCCTGATAACTGCCCCTCACCCCTCCCTGATACCTGCCCCTTCACCCCTCCCCTGATACCTGCCCCCTCACCCCTCCCCTGAACCTGCCCCCTCACCCCTCCCATGATACCTGCCCCTTCACCCCTCCCTGATACCTGCCCCCTCACCTCTCCCCTGATACCTCCCCCCTCCCCTGATACCTGCCCCCTCACCCCTCCCACGATACCTGCCCCCTCACCCCTCCCACGATACCTGCCCCCTCACCCCTCCCACGATACCTGCCCCCTCACCCCTCCCTGATACCTGCCCCCTCACCCCTCCCACGATACCTGCCCCCTCACCCCTCCCACGATACCTGCCCCTCACCCTCCACGATACCTGCCCCCTCACCCCTCCCACGTTTACCTCCCCCCTTCACCCCTCCCACGATACCTGCCCCCTCACCCCTCCCACGATACCTGCCCCCTCACCCCTCCCCTGATACCTGCCCCCTCACCCTCCCACGATACCTGCCCCTCACCCCTCCCACGATACCTGCCCCCTCACCCCTCCCACGATACCTGCCCCCTCACCCCTCCCACGATACCTGCCCCCTCACCCTCCCACGATACCTGCCCCCTCACCCCTCCCACGATACCTGCCCCTCACCCCTCCCACGATACCTGCCCCCTCACCCCTCCCACGATACCTGCCCCCTCACCCCTCCCCTGATACCTGCCCTCACCCCTCCCACGATACCTGCCCCCTCACCCCTCCCACGATACCTGCCCCTCACCCCTCCCACGATACCTGCCCCCTCACCCTCCCACGATACCTGCCCCCTCACCTGGCACACTGGAGCTGATAATTAATTAGCACCTCATTGCTCTTCTACATTTTTCGTGTTCGTCGTTAATGAGTGTTTAACTTTTTACACTCCAGTGTGTGTGTGTGTGTGTGTGTGTGGGGTGTGTGTGTGTTGTGTTTTGGTGTGTGTGTGTTGGTGTGTTTGTTGTTTTGTGTATGGTGTGGTGGTGTTTTGTGTGTGTGTGGGGTGTGTGTGTTTGTGTGTATGTGTGTGTGTGTTTTTAATGTGTGTGTGTGTGTGTATGGGGTGTGTGTGTGTGGTGTGTGTGGGGTGTGTGTGTGTTTTGTGTGTGGTGTATTGTGTGTGTGTGTGTGTGTGTGTGGTGTGTGTGTGTGTGTGTGTGTGTGTGTGTGGGTGTCTGTGTGTGTGTGTGTGTATGTGTGTGTGTGTGATGTGTGTGTGTGTGTGGGGTATGGGGTGTGGTGTGGTTTTGTGTGTGTGTGGGGTGTGTGTGTGTGTGTGTGTGTTTGTGTATGGTGTGTGTGTGTATGTGTGTGTGTGTGTGTGTATGTGTGTGTGTGTGTGTGTGTATGTATGTGTGTGTGTGTATGTGTGTGTGTGTGTATGTGTGTGTATGTGTGTGTGTGTGTGTGTGTTGTGTGTGTGCGTGCGCATGTGTGTGTGTGTGTGTGTGTGCTGCGCATGTGTGTGTGTTTTGGTGTGGTGTGTGGGGTGTATGTGTGTGTGTGTGCGTGAGTTTACCCTCCCTCTCGTTCCTCTCCTATACTCTGTTCCCTCTCATTTCTTTGTCTCTCCTGCTTCTCCTGTTCTCTACACTTTCCTTACACAATCTTGATGTTCTTGTGTAGATTAGTGTGGGTGAGATGATTGGTGTGGGTGTGAGAGGATTGGTGTGGGTGTGAGAGGATTGGTGTGGGTGTGAGAGGATTGGTGTGGGTGTGAGAGGATTGGTGTGGGTGTGAGAGGATTGGTGTGGGTGTGAGAGGATTGGGTGTGGGGAGAGGACTGGTTTTGGTGAGGGATTGGTGTGGGTGTGAGAGGTTTTGGTGTGGGTGTGAGAGGATTGGTGTGGGTGTGAGAGGTTTTGGTGTGGGTGTGAGAGGATTGGTGTGGGTGAGAGGATTGGTGTGTGAGAGGATTGGTGTGGGTGTGAGAGGATTGGTGTGGGTGTGAGGATTGGTGTGGGTGGGGAGAGGATTGGTGTGGGTGTGAGGTTTTGGTGTGGGTGTGAGAGGATTGGTGTGGGTGTGAGAGGATTGGTGTGGGTGTGAGGATTGGTGTGGGTGTGAGAGGATTGGTGTGGGTGTGAGAGGATTGGTGTGGGTGTGAGAGGATTGGTGTGGGTGTGAGAGGATTGGTGTGGGTGAAAACAGGAACAGTGAGTGAGAACTGTTCACTATAACAGAATTGTGATCATCTTCTGTAAGTGGTACTGTATGTCAAGTGTGTTGCTACAGTGTTGCCCTGCGTCATATCTAGTAGTAGCTTCATCAGTGTTAGGTCAGTAAAACCGTAGAGGGCGAAACATCGGGGTAAGGTTGAGTTTGAATAAGGAACTGAAAGCATACATTGTGGTTTACACTGGTTTCGTGTAGGTAGTGTGGAAGAGGAGAGTGTGGGGGGGGCGACCATACAAGTGCCATGTTATACAAAGTGAAGCAAGGAACTGCTAGTTAATAGACACACCTTACTAGGTCTTCACCCCCGCCCCTACCCCCTTCCATGTCCCTCTCACCCTCTTCCCCAGTATGTGTGTGTGTGTGTGTGTATGTATGTATGTATATATATATATATAATATATATTTTTATATATATATATATATATAATTATATATATATATATAAAATTTTATATATATAAATATATATATATATGCAAGGAATTCGCGAGAGCATGCGAAATATACACAAACACTGATCTCTGGCTGAAGGAGACTCGAACCTACGAACCTTAGGACAAGGTACGCAGTGCTTTACCAATCTACCCACACTGGACAATACCTTGGCGTGTAGCATGAGCTACACGTTTTGATCCAAGGCAGCCAGCTTTCAGGGAGAAGGCTTACAGCTTTTCATCTCATCCCTTGCATGCATCAGCCTTACTAGAGATTTGAACAATATCACATAAGTTGTGTGGGATGAAAAATAAAATCGCATTTGTGTTTAACAATTTAGAGTTAATTGTTTTGTATTATTTTAACATAAAACTATAGAAGTAAATGGTATTTATTGAGTTTTAACAAATCCTTCTTAATAAAATAAAAACAATCATTTGGCACAGTAGTGTTTATCATTCAGTTAATGTTGTTGTTGTTGTTGTTGTTTTTGTTGTGTTGTTGTTGTTGTTGTTTGTTATGCTTGATGTATCAGCTTAATCTTAGAAGAAGAGATCTCTCCTTCGATGTCTTTTCACCTTATTGTTTCCATGTCCAAGATGCAGTTCCATTTCTTCGTCTTGACATTGTCAAGAGTTGAAAATTCTTTTGCCGAGAGGTATGTGCTTGACATACGAACAAGCGTGGTCATGACTTCCTTGGTCATGACTTCCTTGGTCATGGCTTCCTTGGTCATGACTTCCTTGGTCATGACTTCCTTGGTCATGGCTTCCTTGGTCATGGCTTCCTTGGTCATGGCTTCCTTGGTCATGGCTTCCTTGGTCATGACTTCCTTGGTCATGACTTCCTTGGTCATGACTTCCTTGGTCATGACTTCCTTGGTCATGACTTCCTTGGTCATGACTTCCTTGGTCATGACTTCCTTGGTCATGGCTTCCTTGGTCATGGCTTCCTTGGTCATGACTTCCTTGGTCATGACTTCCTTGGTCATGACTTCCTTGGTCATGACTTCCTTGGTCATGGCTTCCTTGGTCATGACTTCCTTGGTCATGACTTCCTTGGTCATGACTTCCTTGGTCATGACTTCCTTGGTCATGACTTCCTTGGTCATGACTTCCTTGGTCATGGCTTCCTTGGTCATGACTTCCTTGGTCATGACTTCCTTGGTCATGGCTTCCTTGGTCATGGCTTCCTTGGTCATGACTTCCTTGGTCATGGCTTCCTTGGTCATGGCTTCCCCTTTGGGCATGACTTCCTTGGGGCATGGCTTCCTTGGTCATGGCTTCCTTGGTCATGGCTTCCTTGGTCATGGCTTCCTTGGTCATGGCTTCCTTGGTCATGGCTTCCTTGGTCATGGCTTCCTTGGTCATGGCTTCCTTGGTCATGGCTTCCTTGGTCATGACTTCCTTGGTCATGACTTCCTTGGTCATGGCTTCCTTGGTCATGACTTCCTTGGTCATGACTTCCTTGGTCATGACTTCCTTGATCATGGCTTCCTTGGTCATGACTTCCTTGGTCATGGCTTCCTTGGTCATGGCTTCCTTGGTCATGGCTTCCTTGGTCATGACTTCCTTGGTCATGGCTTCCTTGGTCATGGCTTCCTTGGTCATGACTTCCTTGGTCATGACTTCCTTGGTCATGACTTCCTTGGTCATGACTTCCTTGGTCATGACTTCCTTGGTCATGGCTTCCTTGGTCATGGGCTTCCTTGGTCATGACTTCCTTGGTCATGACTTCCTTGGTCATGACTTCCTTGGTCATGCTTCCTTGGTCATGCTTCCTTGGTCATGACTTCCTTGGTCATGACTTCCTTGGTCATGGCTTCCTTGGTCATGGCTTCCTTGGTCATGACTTCCTTGGTCATGGCTTCCTTGGTCATGGCTTCCTTGGTCCATGACTTCCTTGGTCATGGCTTCCTTGGTCATGGCTTCCTTGGTCATGGCTTCCTTGGTCATGGCTTCCTTGGTCATGGCTTCCTTGGTCATGGCTTTCCTTGGTCATGGCTTCCTTGGTCATGGCTTCCTTGGTCATGGCTTCCTTGGTCATGGACTTCCTTGGTCATGGACTTCCTTGGTCATGGCTTCCTTGGTCATGACTTCCTTGGTCATGACTTCCTTGGTCATGACTTCCTTGGATCATGGCTTCCTTGGTCATGACTTCCTTGGTCATGGCTTCCTTGGTCATGGCTTCTTGGGCATGGCTTCCTTGGTCATGACTTCCTTGGTCATGGCTTCCTTGGTCATGGCTTCCTTGGTCATGACTTCCTGGTCATGACTTCCTTGGTCATGACTTCCTTGGGTCATGACTTCCTTGGTCATGACTTCCTTGGTCATGGCTTCCTTGGTCCATGGCTTCCTTGGTCATGGCTTCCTTGGTCATGGCTTCCTTGGGGCATGGCTTCCTTGGTCATGGCTTCCTTGGTCATGGCTTCCTTGGTCATGACTTCCTCGGTCATGGCTTCCTCGGTCCCTGACTTCCTTGGTCATGACTTCCTTGGTCATGGCTTCCTTGGTCATGACTTCCTTGGTCATGGCTTCCTTGGTCATGGCTTCCTTGGTCATGGCTTCCTGGTCATGCTTCCTTGGTCATGGCTTCCTTGGTCATGGCTTCCTTGGTCATGGCTTCCTTGGTCATGGCTTCCTTGGTCATGGCTTCCTTGGTCATGGCTTCCTTGGTCATGACTTCCTTGGTCATGACTTCCTTGGTCATGGCTTCCTTGGTCATGACTTCCTTGGTCATGACTTCCTTGGTCATGACTTCCTTGATCATGGCTTCCTTGGTCATGACTTCCTTGGTCATGGCTTCCTTGGTCATGGCTTCCTTGGTCATGGCTTCCTTGGTCATGGCTTCCTTGGTCATGACTTCCTTGGTCATGACTTCCTTGGTCATGGCTTCCTTGGTCATGGCTTCCTTGGTCATGGCTTCCTTGGTCATGACTTCCTTGGTCATGGCTTCCTTGGTCATGGCTTCCTTGGTCATGGCTTCCTTGGTCATGACTTTCCTTGGTCATGACTTCCTTGGTCATGCTTCCTTGGTCATGGCTTCCTTGGTCATGACTTCCTTGGTCATGGCTTCCTTGGTCATGACTTCCTTGGTCATGACTTCCTTGGTCATGGCTTCCTTGGTCATGGCTTCCTTGGTCATGACTTCCTTGGTCATGACTTCCTTGGTCATGGCTTCCTTGGTCATGGCTTCCTTGGTCATGACTTCCAGTTTGAGGTATTCAGGTATTTTACCAGACATACCAAGAAATCTCCATAATAGGATGTTTCATGGCGGTATTAACGAATTTTCAAACCGTAGTTACTGACGAAGGAAGACAGGAAGACAGAGGAGCAAATACATAATAAATTTATTTCTTTTCTGCAGTATACAGGTAATGTAGTTTACATATAATAAAATACTGTTAGGTACAAATGAAAGCCACTAGCATGCAGTGCATTCCGGCAAAGTATACATCACTACCGCCCTATCACAGTACCGAGCTGGGTCACCCTTGGGTCACCCCAGTCAGCCACGTCAATCCTAGGGTGACCACGTCTTGGTCTAAATCACCCCAGTTGAGAAACACTGCAAATCAACAACCATGGTGATATTGCATGTTTGTTAATGGGTTTTGTTTTGAGAAAGACTTGCCTAGTATGGGCCAGTAGGCCTGCTGCAGTGTTCTTTCTTATGTTCTTAAGACTTACTGGTACTCGAGAAGGGTTCTCTTTTTTTCCTATATGCTCTAACCTGAGCCTCTTAATCCTCGTAAAAACTTGACTGTTTTTAATGATGTTCCACCTTTCTCATACACTTGCAACAAATGTCACAGTTCTTCTCTATTCACCCTATCATATAACTTTTCTAAATCCATAAATGCAAGGAATAGTTCCTTGGCCTTATCATATCTGCAACAGCTAGACACAAGTGTTGGCACCACTGTTCTCTGATAAATTATCCATTTATCATTTATTGATAAACTTGTTTCTTTCCACAGGCAGCTCTACACACTTGCTATGTACATATGAGAATTTAAATCCACATGACGCCTTGTTTACACAATTTATTATATTTACTATTCTATGAAATCTCAAATACAATACTGTATACTCATTGATTTCTCCTGAATTACCAGCACAAAGCACAGTGGATGTGGTTATTTAGTACCTCATTCAGAATACAGTGGAACCTCGGAATTTGCGTCCTTATGACCACGCACGATTTTCCTTACCAATATTTTTTTATTAAATGCATTTTGTATTTGGTGTGTGTGTGTGTGTGTGTGTTGTGTGTGTGGTGTGTGTGTGTGTGTGTGTGAGTGTGTGTGTGACTATACACACACACACTTGGGGCCAGGAGCTGTGAATCGACCCCTGTAATCATAACTAGGTAAGTACATACATACAAGCTGCATGCGCGCCACACGAGCACACAACACACACACACACAACAACACACCACACAACACGCAGCTCGGGTCGACCCCCGCACCTCAACTAGTAGTACACACACATACAACACACACACAACACACAACAACACCACACAACACACAACACACACACACACACACACACACACACCACACATACACAAACACAATTCACGAATTTCATCACGATATTAAAAATCTGAAGGAAAATTTTCACTAAAGTTAACTTTTTTATTGCAATAGATTATATTTCGTTAATGTGCAGTACATATAAAAATGTAAGAAGTTTAATAATTCGTGATGTCCGCAGCTTGACGAACGTAACCCACTTGTAAGAAGTTTAATAATTCCTGATGTCCGCAGCTTAACGAACGTAACCCACTTGTAAGAAGTTTAATAATTCGTGATGTCCGCAGCTTAACGAACGTAACCCACTTGTAAGAAGTTTAATAATTCGTGATGTCCGCAGCTTGACGAACGTAACCCACTTGTAAGAAGTTTAATAATTCGTGATGTCCGCAGCTTGACGAACGTAACCCACTTGTAAGAAGTTTAATAATTCGTGATGTCCGCAGCTTGACGAACGTAACCCACTTGTAAGAAGTTTAATAATTCCTGATGTCCGCAGCTTGACGAACGTAACCCACTTGTAAGAAGTTTAATAATTCCTGATGTCCGCAGCTTGACGAACGTAACCCACCTGTAAAAAGTTTAATAATTCGTGATGTCCGCAGCTTGACGAACGTAACCCACTTGTAAGAAGTTTAATAATTCGTGATGTCCGCAGCTTGACGAACGTAACCCACTTGTAAGAAGTTTAATAATTCGTGATGTCCGCAGCTTGACGAACGTAACCCACTTGTAAGAAGTTTAATAATTCGTGATGTCCGCAGCTTGACGAACGTAACCACTTGTAAGAAGTTTAATAATTCGTGATGTCCGCAGCTTGACGAACGTAACCCACTTGTAAGAAGTTTAATAATTCCTGATGTCCGCAGCTTGACGAACGTAACCCACCTGTAAAAAGTTTAATAATTCGTGATGTCCGCAGCTTGCGAACGTAACCCACTTTGTAAGAAGTTTAATAATTCCTGATGTCCGCAGCTTGACGAACGTAACCCACCTGTAAAAAGTTTAATAATTCGTGATGTCCGCAGCTTGACGAACGTAACCCACTTGTAAGAAGTTTAATAATTCGTGATGTCCGCAGCTTGACGAACGTAACCCACTTGTAAGAAGTTTAATAATTCGTGATGTCCGCAGCTTGACGAACGTAACCCACCTGTAAAAAGTTTAATAATTCGTGATGTCCGCAGCTTGACGAACGTAACCCACGTGTATTCAACTGTACAATATTACTCGTAAAGCTTTACGAGTAATACTGTCATTGCTATATGGTTCTTTTTCCATTGTTGTACTATATATATTTTTGTCCATTCAGACTCTTGCATTAATAACACTAATTTTAGTTACTGAACCATTTTTTTTATACTTTTTACTGTAGCAGGTATTGTATATAGTTAGTATTGTGATGTAGGGAGTGATTGGTTGAGTGTATAGTGTTGTGTTGATAGTGTGAGTGTATAGTGTTGTGTTGATAGTATGAGAGTGTATACTGTTGTGTTGATAGTGTGAGAGTGTATACTGTTGTGTTGATAGTGTGAGAGTGTATACTGTTGTGTTGATAGTGTGAGAGTGTATACTGTTGTGTTGATAGTATGAGAGTGTATACTGTTGTGTTGATAGTGTGAGAGTGTATACTGTTGTGTTGATAGTATGAGAGTGTATACTGTTGTGTTGATAGTGTGA